CTAGATTTCTTCTTCTTTTCTGAAGTGAGAAGTTGTCCGTCAGTCACCCAAATCAGCGTTAAAAAAGCGGTAGGCGCCGAAAAGCGGCTAATTTGAATCACTGATATATATATATATATATTTTTGTTTTGTTATTCCCCCATGCATATACATTTGGCTGTTTTTGATTAGTGTCAATCAATGGCACTGTGTGCAACTTAAAGTAATTTGATACAAAAAGGAGCTTAATGTATAAAATATTTAGTTGCACTCAAAATGATATCCAGTTTATAGCCATTTTCTTTTTAGAAACGTTCAACAGTATGTAGGAGTGGTACTCTGCTAATTGCCCAATTTGATATATTGAAGGTGCACATTAAAAGTGATTAAAAGCTTAAGACAATGCTATTTACTGGATATCTAGTCCGGAAAACATTTTCAAAGACGAGCAAGAAATGTCAAACTCAATTAGTTTTTCTTGCTTGTGTAACAAAATATTTTATTATTGTTAAACATAATACAACAAAACATGAACAAAAGTTAAATCACTCGCCAAGACTTTATTCCTATGAACACATGTAGTGATTTCTATACAAATGACCAAAAACAATGACAACCAAGAATGGTATCTTAAAATCAGTCCTTCGGTCAAACAATTGGCTGTTAAAACAAAACAGTAAACTTGATCTTCAAAATGTTGAAAATAACGGGGAGATGTAAAGGATATAAGAAAAGCCATAAATAAAATTACTGCAGATTTTATTTCACAGGACTATGATTCAACTCTTTATTTTATGAACGCAACATCAGGGATCTTGCCATCCGCCTGGAGAGAGAAAAAACAGCATTTCAGTGCTTGCTATAAAAAAAGACCAGACACATGAAAAACAGAGAGATGTACCATGAACCATTATATTACCTTTAACTGAGTGAAAACCTGCCCAGCTACGTCGAAATTCCAGTTATTGTCTTGCAGACACCTTCAAAAGAGAATAGGTGTTAATATACGTTGAATTGAGTAAATAAAATGTAATTACATTGCAAACACTACATGCACATAAACAAGGATTACTTTTGGGACCATTCCAGGTTCATGCCAGACTTCTGCGAGAAGGCTGTGAGCATCTCCTGGTGCGGTGCAGTGAGGATGGGCACAGGGCTGGACGAGGGAGTGGGAGCGGGGGCGACGAAGGCTCTCCGGATCTCCTCTGTTGTGGCCATCCGGATGAACATCTGGTCGTTCACGATGCAAAGACTATGGCACAGAAAGAAACAAGTTGAACAAAAGAAAGATATCTCCTGGTGGTGAAGTAAAGTGATTGCATGACTTGAGGCAACACAGCTTTATTTGTATAGCAGCTGCTAATCCTTTTGACAGTGTGTGCTTACATTACTACAACACTAGATGGCAGCATCAATCCTTAAAAACCAATCCAACTTTTAATTTTTCCACTGTATAATAATCTCAATGCAAATCCAAACTCCAGTCTTTGGATTCAAACTGGCAATAAACTGGGTTTCTGTTTTTGTCACTTGCAAAAAAGAGCAGAAATAATATCTTATAGTTTTGCACATCATGTAAACATAAATGTAATATGTTTCAACATCCAGGTGAAAAAAACCCAAAGGTAAGAAATTCTCTGATAATACATTTTTAAGATGCATACCATATAAGTGTAATATTCAGATCTCAGCAGGTTATTTTCGAAAAGATCCACAACTGTTGTTACTAAGTAAGTATTATGGCCTTTCCTCAGGGAAATTGTGGATGACAACAGGAAGATGATACAAACCATTGGGAGCTCACTAAACGTACCCGTTATTCCCTGCTGGGACTGTGACGAAAACCCGGGAGAAAGCCATTGTCGACTCTCGGGATTTACCATCAACAGCAACTGAAGAAGAAACATGAGACACATTAGCAGCAAAATCAACATTACTCATCCTTACAGAGAAGAACAAAACATTTGTATTGTACAATGCCTTGTCTTTTTATGCTGCTGAAACACAAACATTTCCCAAATTGGCTTCAATAAAGTACCATCTTATCTTATAAAACACGACTGTACAACTTACCTTCTTTGAAGACTCCGCTCACTGTGAATGATAATAGTGTGTTCTGCAAACGGGAAACATATTTGCAGGTTTAGTGCAGATACATGACTCACAGTGAGAGGATAAGGTTAATGACAAGTACTGGCCGAGTCTGACAGAACAAACATGATCTCACCGTGAAGGTGTTTACGTCGACATTAAAAGAGGCAATGTCGTGCTGAGTTTTGGGCAACTCGTTGAGGAAAGCCACCACGTTCAGCCGTGTATGCTTCAGAAGTCGAAACCGAACCGCTAAAAGAGGGAAGATTCAGAGAAGGAAACATAAGGAGGAATCTCAAATCACAGAAATATTCAGTCTCAATTCAGAGACCATGTTAACAGCTCAATAGATAAACTCACTGGTGTCTTTGATCCTCTTCAGGTTTCGTGTGTCTTTGTGATACTCCCCAAGGCTGCTCCTAAAACCAGGAGACAGGGACAGATGGAATACATGTGAATACTTCAGAGACCCATATAGAGGTGTCATCGGGGAAATGAGAAGCACATGAATGTTGGAGGAAAGACAAAATGATGTAAACAAAAGATCTATCTAAATTTCAACTTGAGAAACAAAGTAAAACCTTACATTTATACATCGATATGTTATTGGTGTTGCCGCATGTATAGTATACAGAAGTTTGTGTCTTTGGGTGTGTTTGTACCTGGAGGGGTTCTGGGTGGAGTACGGTGTTGTCAGGGATAACGATGCTCCATCATGGTAGGCATCCAAGAGTGACTGTCTGTCCCCGGAGTCGTATATACTGTAGTACCTGCAACACATGACATATCTCTTGACTTTGTTTTTATGTCCTCTCCTGTAGGTCCCCGTCTTAACCAAACACTATTTTCTGGAACAGGCCCGGCTGTTGTGAGAAGATTGTTTATATACAAAAAGTTAAAACTCACTGTTGCAAGAAGCGAAGGATGAGGACCTTGATATCATCAGAGCCAAAACAGCTGCCCTGGGTTGTCAAAAAAAAAAAAAAAGGTCAGCTACATAAAGGACATATTGATTGTTTTGAAACCTGAAAGAGATGTTGAAGAGGTTCGCAGGAAAGATATACAAGTAATCAAAAGATAAAAACAAGAAACCTTGCAGGGGGGGATCGTTGTGGGGGTTTCCACATCAAATCCAATGGGAGCAGGGAGGTCATGACCATCCTATTGAAATAAACCACACATGAGAAATTAGCTTATCCAATTTGTTATCGTTTTCTAAATTTCTAACTATAAATACAACTACAAAATAAAATGGTTCACAGTGTTCCTTTATATCAACACCAATCAATGGGTATTTAAAACATTTGTAAAACGACATGCAAATTCAAGCAAAATCCTTAGTTTGAAAACACAACAGTCTAATTCAAGTACTTTTCTAACTTTCAAGTGTTTGAACAATCCCTGATTTAATTTAGCAACTTGACCGCATCCAGAAAAAGCCAAAGTGTTTCAGAAAATGTATTGCACATTTCGCAACATCGCAATTAATTGCTGGTTAAATACTGCAGACAGATCCTAAAACATGAGCATTATTCAAGTGAAGTGAGGAGATAAACGTGTTGACTTACGAGTTTGAGAAGCCGGGGAAACCTCTGCCGCACAGCACTGGTACAGAACAAAAATTAGGAGAAGGTTATGATCAGAACTACACGACACACAAATAAAAATCATGCTCATTACTGAAAGTAGCACTGTCACTCACACCTGCTCACCAATTTAATGTCATTTTGTTCCTCAACTTATGTCATTAGGCTGACACTGTCAAAAAACATTTGAGAGAACACAATTATGTATAGATGCATATGTAACTAAAGCCAGTGGGATTTAATCTTTACAAGTAATGATGAACTATTATTTGCACTCTTTTCATTCCTTGAGTTTCATGCTACAAGAATGATCCCACCCCAAAGTGTACTTACCAGTTGGTATACTCATCCTCTCCCCCAATATGGAGATATACACAGATCTGACATAGGGAAGCAATACAAGCAAACTTTTCTAGGAGCGCACACACACAAACAGGCAAAGACCCATGGTCTACCAGACTGCACAGGAGTCCTTTTTGCATTAGTAAAATAAAGAAGTTGGGCATTGCTGGGAGAGAGGTGGTTACCACCAGTGTTGTGTTCCCCTCCCCCCAAACTCTGGCAGTGTACGGGAGCAGATGAGTCTACGCCACTAAAAACAAAAACAACTCTGGGGAAAAAATATATAAATTAAAAAACGTACACAAACACAGCACAACTGGTCTAAAATGAATTCTAATAAGTATCCATTAAGACTCTGTTGGTGTCTAAGCCATTGATTATCAGCAGGGAAAGTCAACCTGAGAACAGAGCTGAACAAAAAGGACAGCGGGCTTCAGAGTGAGCTGAACGCAGCAGGCCCACCACTCATCCTGGTTTCTTCCCCTGCAGCGCACACAAAGCAGCTACGCATCTGATAGACCAAGGCTATTCAATTGGCGGCCCGCGGGCCAAATCCGGCCCCGGGTTGATATTTACTGGCCCTTTGAGTATAATGTTAAAAATTAATCACATTTTTTTATTTTTTTTGGGCCAGAGTGCCTTTATTCCAGAGAGGGTGTTACATTGAGAGATAGAGGGGAAGACATTGCCTGAAAACTTCTGCGGGCTCGGGTTTCGAACCCACCTACTCGCTACTGTAGTGACAACTCCTGTCATTTATTGCATCTTTATTGCGTGAATGATTAGATCATTTCACCTAAATGAAATCAAATTAAATTATGTTGAGGTTTAAATTAGCTTCACATGTACAGTAGGCCTACTGAGTTCTGAACTTGCCATTTAGATCTATAAAGGCCTTGGGGCTATTTTGTTTGATTTAATTAAACACAATATATGCACTCCAATATGCTGTTGTAGTATTTACTGTATCTGAAGCTCTGAATATGATTGCTCATATTTCAAGCCATCTTTTTCCCGGCCCCTTGCTTTGGATCATTTTCATCAACCGGCCCCATTCCAAACTAATTGAATAGCCCAGTCATAGACCATCAATTCTGTGGTGATGGTGTTTATGCACGAACAAGGACAAGACTTTATGTTGCAAGCTTTTATTTTTGAAGCTTGATTTTGGTCAACAACTCTGGTTACAGAGGGACTTGGAGGTCATTAAACATTTGGACTGGAGAGATAATTCTCTGCTCGGCTTCTCCTGCTTTATATTTGAGCTTTTCTGTACTGGTCACAGTCATCACAAAGAGGAAGGGGAACTCTTTCTTTACTGGACAAACTGGAACTCAATTTCCAGTTCAGAACACGTCAGTCAGGGGCCTCTCCCACTTCATTCTCTGAACAGCAGAGGTCTGTTTCAGGCCATTAGGAGACCAACTTAGTCGGAGACAGACTGCTTTCTCTCTTTGGCCCATTCTTGGTCATTATAATGACACGCATCCCCCTCCACCTCAGCCCAACAGCTTTTTCTGTAACGCCCCGTCTTCTTAATTCTTCTTCTTGCGTTTTCATTCAGTCAGAGTTCACAGGGGCTGAGGCCGAGTAATCGTGACTGTGCCTGCCTTAGGTCGTCCCAGGATTTTGAGGTGGGATCTTACCCGTCATGAGCTATCCAGCCTTCCATACTCGCCTGATACAGTGGGCCGCGTGGGCAAGGGTGCTACAAGGGGAGGGGAACTCATCATTTGTGGCTTTTCTCGGTTTCATTCACTGTCAACTGTAGATTGCCCTCTCTTCATTAAAAATAACTTACAATGTTTTACAGTACTGCTCAAGAGATTGCTGTGGAATCATATTTTTTTAAAGCAGTTCACAGAACATTTTATTAAAAAAGGGTTGTCAAGCTGAAGGTGTTTTTTATTTGTTTTTATATCATTTAAGTGCTTCTTCTTAGAGATGTATATCTTTAGCAGTGCAAAGGTGTTTTACAGCAGTTTATTGGATAACGAAACCAGGATGTCATGAGGGGAGAGCTGGGTACAGCATCACTGAGAACCATAAAAGGGATCAAAGCTTGAAAGTTTGTCCCACAGAGAAGCTGACAGAAAAGATGGCTGTTAATACTGGAGAGTTTAAGTAAGCTGAACAAGAAAACAATGTAGAAGTGTTTTGTGATTAGAAGTCTTCTCAGCAACTTTTGGAGGCAAACAAAAGGTTAGGTTAGTTTAAGGGGGGGGGGAATGCTAATCACAATTTCAAAGGAGCATGTAAAAAAAAAAAGGTTTCCAGGTTTCATTTCTCGTTTCACTTTCGCCACAGGAATAAAGTGAGTTAATGGTAAAGGTTAGCAGGCTCTGATTAGTCCTCAGAATCCTCGATTGTTAGATTACGGTTTCAGTAATTGTTCAGGCATCTCAGACACGCTTACAAAGGCTTGCTTGATATTTTGTAGATGCTGCTGCATATTTTTGTCATTCAGGAAAAACTCCCAGACACCCTCACTTGCACGCCCTGTCAGATTACTGTGTCACCTTCATAAATCTTCTGCCCTCAACCCCCAAAATCGCTGACTGACCTAATGTATGAGGCCTGATCCTTGAAGAAGTCGCACAGAGGGTTCCTGTTAAGCCACAGCTCCACCAGCTTCAAGCCTTTCACCTTGTCCAGCTCCCGGTCTGTCTTCAGCTGTAGGAGCACACGGTAACAGAACAAGTTAGCATTAGATGGAAATTTAAAACGTAAGGTAAGGTTTAGAGTCTGGTTTTAATTATCTCGATCAACAGTAGTCAGTTTCACCTCATTGTGGGAAAGGTTGAGGGTCTTCAGATTAGGTGCCTTGGAAACCAAATCTGTGAGTTCATCCAGTTTTTGAATACGGTTGTTACTCAGGTTCAAGCCCGTCAGCTGACAAGAGACAGAGAGACTTGGATAAGCACATTCAGTTTCCCCCGTCACTTGATCAAAAAGAAGCTACCATCAGCACCTTTGTTAGGGCAACAGCAAATAGTTTGTTGCTTTGTCCACCAAAAAGTGTGTTTATTTTACCTCCGGGATGTTTTCTTTAATGATATTGATGACAGCTTCCATGTTCGTCTTCCTATTCAAGATAACTTCAATGTTCTGGGAAACCAGGTCTGTCAAACAAAATAGGCAACAAAATAATCAGCAAATATTTGAAAATAATTTCAGTGACATTCAGGTTCTTGAGCTCTGAAAGGTTACATTTAAATCACCAGATTGGCTGCACCATCTTTGCATTTTCAAAACATGTCAAACAACAATGTAGCGAACATTTACTGACATCACAGGAAAACTAGGAGCCCTGTATAGCACTTTTTTGTATGTAAAATTATAAATCATATATCTTGAATACTATAATGTTTAGTTATTTTTAAACAGTCCCACCTGTATAGGAACTTGTAACAACTCATCTAGTATAGATTGTAAGTACCGGCTTGAATATGTGTTTAATCTTTTCATTAATATGTATATATAAAAATTAATACATGGGATTTGTGTGTAAAAATTGTTGACAGAGTAACGTTTTTACCAGGGTCTGTTCGGATGTTGTTTAAGTCCAGTGCTTGCTGGGAGCCATCAAAACGTTTTGCCATGCATTGCTGTAAAACATAAAAAAGAAAAATGTGAGCGGCCTTATCTCAACACAAAAATATTCGTCACAATGAATATAAACGTCCTTCAATAGAGTGGTGCAGTGACGAGTCCTAAAACCCGGAAGTGAG